GGAGCTCTGGTAGCATAGTGGTTACAAATTGGGCTGCGAACTGCAAGGTCAGCAGTTCGAAACTAGCAGCTGTTCCGTGGTACAGAGATGAGGCTTTCTGCTCCCGAAAAGTTTTACAGCCTCGGAAACCCTGTACGGGGTCGCTATGAGTAGGAACCGACTCCACGGTACATAACAATGATTCTTGCTATTAGGAGCTCTGGTATCTTAGTGGTTATGAGTCGGGCTGCTAACCTCAAGGTCAGCAGATCGAAACTACCCGCTGTTCCCTGGGTGAAAGATGAGGCTTTCTGCTTCCATAAAAATTTACAGCTTCGGAAACCCTATAAGGGGTTGCTATGGGTCGGAACCGACTTCACGGCACACTACCATTACCACTCTTGCTATTGCTGGGGAGTTTGCTTTTGAAGCATACCCTCCCGTTTTCTTTTTTCTTTTTTTCTTTGATTTAGCAGACAAATTTATTTTCTCACAGTGTAGGAGGCTAGAAGGCAGCATTCAGGGCATGGGCTCTCGTGGAAGGGAGGCTTTCTCTCGGTCAGGTCCTTGACTCCTCAGTTTCCTGTCCTGCTTCCTGGGATATCTCCATGCATCTTGGCATAAGTCTTGCCCTATCTCTGCTTACTTACTTCCCCTAATCCACTGTCTGTACTAATCCTGCCTCAGTAATGGAACAAAGACAGCCTATCTCAAATGGGGCTATAATCACGGCCCTTATTGTTGTTGGAGCTCCTTGTTGTTGTTGTTATGTGCCGTGGAGCCGGAACCAACTCATAGCGACCCTGTACAGGGTTTCCGAGGGTGTAAATCTTTACGGGAGTAGAAAGCCTCATCTTTCTCTCGCGGAGCAGCTGGTAGTTTCGAACTGCTGACCTTGCGGTTTACAGCCCGATTCGTAACCACTACGCTACCAGAGCTCCTAGCAACCCTGTATAGGGTTTCTGAGGAGCACAGGATAGGTTTGAACTGCCAGCCTCGTGGTTAGCAGTCCAATAGTTATCCTACAGTGCCACACTGGGAGTCTAACCAGTCATCGAGGTTAGGATTAACAACACATATTTGGGGGCTGGGCGGGGGCACAGATAATCCCTAACAACAGGTCTAGAGGCTAGGAATAGTATTTGACATTGCTTGTGAAACTGTGATTATGTGTATGGTAGATTAAAAGTGTTTTAACGCCTCTTAAATTTGCATCAACCTTTATAACAAAGCTACCATCTTCTTAAGCAATAGGTATATGAATTTCTGTGCCTTATTAGATGAATAGCAAGACATCTCAAAAAAATTTTCAAAATCATATACCTATTCAAAGATCTGGCGTAAAACAAGATATTTTTTGGGGAAAGCAGGATAGTTGAGTATATTCTTTTTTTTTTTTTTTAAAGTTTTTATTGTGAATTATGTGATAGTTTACATGGGAGAACATTAGTTGTACATTCATCCTATCGTATATCGTTTCATTGCCATAGTTACAATCCCCTCCATGCATCATCAACCAACCAAAGTTACCCTCCCATTTGCATTATGAATAATTGTTCAGTGCTGTTGAGTCAGTTCCGACTCATAGCAACCTTGTGTAGGGTTTTTGAGGAGCGACTGGTAGTTTTGAACTGCCAACCTTGTGGTCCCAGTGCATTATCCTGCAGTGCCACACCAGCAATTTAATAGCCATGATCAATTATCACTGTCTGCCATGAGTGTACAGGAAATGCCAGGTATTTGCCAATCAGGAGCTAAGCAAATGAGTTAATGATCAGGAAGGAACGTCAAATAATACTGCTACGAAAACAATAGAAATTTTATTGAACAAAAACATAACAGCGTGAAGCTATTGTTTTTCACCATGTTCTCCGTCTAGGTTGATACACTTCTGCAGGTGGTCTTTCCATCTTTGCCCCTTTTCCTGAACAATTCTGTGCTCTTTAATTTATATATACCACATGAAAACTGCAGTTTGGGCAGCCCCGAGGGACTCAAATCTGTCCTTTTCAGTGTTCTTTGAGTTTGGGGAACAAGAAGAAGTGTGAAGGGGCAAGGTCAGGGCTGTAGGGTGGATGGATTAAGATTTCCCAGTAAAGTTCCCGTAGGACAGGCCTTACTACCCTCCAAGAAGGAAGCGATGGACTGTTTGTTGTGATGCAAGAAAATTGATCAACTTTTCCTGGACTTCCTTTTCTATCCACTGCAAATTTCAGTTTTCTTAAAATTGCTTTCTACTAAGTCCCCAGAACCATCCTATATCCTGGTAGAAAATCTTTCAAGATGACCCCTTTAGAAATCCCTCAGTCACCATAACCTTCTGAACTGACTGACGACTCTACCTCTGCCTTGAATTTAACTTGACTTAGCAGATCCTGTTTTGATTGGACCTTTTTCTTTGAAATCACCCGTAATGAAACTAAGAAAACTGGTCTGCAGTTACCCCTGATCCCAGAGACATGTTGAAACTCATTTTATTTGGAATAAACTCATGTATGTATAAAACAAGAACCCTACAAGATTGACTGATCCTTGTATTTGCGTTTTGTCTGAGAGAAAAACCTATGTAAGCTCAATAGAATCACAGTCATGAAGGAGGGGGCAGCTTTTCTTATCCTCCTATAGATGGAATGTGCCTTTAACATGACTTACTATTGAATATGTTTATGAATTTCATGTTATCAAAGAGTGTTTACGTGAGAAAACCATTTATTGTTATAAAAAGTTGAGTCATAGCTTCCCACCTAGCTCCCCAGTGTGAGCTATGCTTGGTGATTCTTTTCCAAATAATAGAATATGGATCAAGAGGGAAAATAACTTCTCCAAGGAGGAAGCTGGCAAACATTGTCTCAGCCAGGTGATTATGTTTAAAATCAACAAGGATAAATCATGTTGACAGTATGTCCCTTTAATATAATGGGATAAGAGTGGTATTTCATCTCTGTTATCTTTCTTCCAAAAACCCATAACCCCAGTCTAATCATGAGAAGCACATTGGATAAATCTCACCCAAGCATGTATTCAGTGTAGCTGAGCAGTGTTCCTCCAAACTTCTAAGATACAAAAAACAAGGGAAGTCTGAGAAACTAGAACAGCTAAGAAAGTCAAGAGGCATGACAAATATTAACATGGTATCCTATAAATAAAAAGGACACTAGGCAAAAAATAAGGAAATATTAAATAAAGGAAGTACTTCAATTAGTAATAATGAATTATTAGAAATTTATAAATTGTTACACATGTACCAAAGTAATGTAAGATGCTAAGAATTGTGGAAACTGAGTGAAACACGTATAGAAACTCCTTACTATGTTTGTGACTTTTCTTCTAAACTAAAACAATTAAATTTTTTTGGAAAGTTTAATTTTTTAAAAATTGTCATAAATGTCCATGATGTGTTTTCAATGAGATGTTATTTATTTAAAATAAGAAGAATTTATAAATAACTCTTATACTGAGTAAGCCTACAGGTGTATATTACTTGATTAAACTAGCATTTGTTGTTGTTGTTAATTAAGCCCCTTGTAGGTAAGTCATGGAATTCAGTTCCCACTCATCGTGACCCTGTGAAGAGTTTCTGAGGTTGTAAATCTTTGTGAGAAGCTAAAAGCTTCATCTGTCTCCCAAATTCGCATAGAGAGGGCCAGTTTCACTGTGTATTTGAAG